CCCATTAGGAGTGACGTGTTCCTTCTACTTGGGAACAGCCCCTCCCCAGACTGTCTCACTTTTTTATTACCTGCTTGGCCTCTGACGGCAGTGGAGTTGATGACTTCCTCAAGTGGATAAAATAGGCTTTTGTGGACTAGCCTAGGAACCCAACCTGTATGTTTGATACTATTTCTATGGGAAGGTAGATTTCAGCTTTTTTTGTTTTTCTTCAGGCGGGGTCTCACTGTGTTACCCAGGATGGAGTGCAGTGGCACGGTCATGGCTCGCTGCAGCCTCAACCTCCTGTGCTCAGGTGATCCTTCTGCCTCAGCTTCCTGAGTAGCTGGGACTATAGGTGCATGTCACCACGCCTGGCTAATTTATTTTTTTCATAGAGATGAGGTCTTACTATGTTGTCCAGGCTAGTCTCTAACTCCTGGGTTCAAACAGTCTTCCTGCATCAGCCTCCTAAAGTGCTGGGGTTACAGGCATGAGCTACCATGTCCAGCTGATTTTAACTTTTGAAGAGCAGATTTTTTAAAAATACCACAATGCAAATTTTTGAGTACCTACAAGGTCCTCAGCTAGAATGTGTGTGTCTGGAGTAATGGCCTGTGTCCTGTAGTTCTCCTGTGCTGTATGTTGACTTAGCACTTAGTAGGTACTTAATATGTGATTTATCTCATGGGGTCACCAAGAACTTGTTGTCCGCCCTGCTCCTGGCCAGTGAACAGAAATGCCATCTCGCTGTGGACTGGCCTGTCAGTTCTGCCTGAGACCGGATCACTGTGTGATTTATCTAGAACATTCACTCTAGCTCTAGATAACCGTGCAGAGTTTGGAATCAGTCCCCTGCCTGAGAGTGAGGTTTCTCTCACTGAGCAAAGACTCAGGCCCTGTAGAGTCAGCCCAAATGAGGAAACAGAGGACTGGAGTTTGTGGCCAGTACAGAGTGCTTACATTCCACACCCTGGACAAAGGCAGGTCAAAGTTCAGCTCATTCCCTTTAAAGAAAAAAAAATTCTTTGTCTTTGGCATTTTAAAATTTTGACCCAGATCAGTCAGAGGCTATGAAGAGCTCACAACGGCCGTCTGGAGAGTTTGTTTAGTTCCTGAGGCCTGTAACTGCAGAGAAGCCAACAAGAGCCAGTGACCTATCGGGCTTGAGCGGAAGCCCTGCCTTTTCAAGTTTGCGCTGACCTGGCCTCTCCAGGTCTCCGCAGGAGAGTGGAAGGAGCCAGCACCTTCTCTTCACTCCGAAGTTATCTTTACCCCCTGAAATCAAACACTGCACACAGCACCCTGTAAAACTGCTTCCTTGTAGGCTCTAGCGAGCTTATTAAGTAAACATCCTCCGATGATTTTAGAACCAAATTTGTTTCTGCTTCCTGGTCATCCCATTCGGGTTTCTCTGTTCTTGGTGTCTTGCAGAATAAGGTTAATAGAAAGACCTAGAATTGGACAGAGGCACCTACAATGACTGTTTTAATCCTAGTAAAATTGTGAGAAAGATAACGGAGTCATAGGAAGAAAAAGATTCCAATGAAAAGTGAAATGAAACACAGGCTTCCTGAACATAATGTCGTCATAATGCTTTGCGAGTCACAGTTGGTCCATGCCACACCCCTGAGATGGGGGCCTTATCTTTGCATGAACTCAGCTCAGTTTTGTTGTGGTTGTAGACAATCGGCCTCTCTCTACAAATTCAGTGGCTGTGTACGTCCCTCCTCTAACCCTGCCTTGCTCTCACTCTGTCTCTCATGACTTATTTGCCTCTTCTCTCTCACTTCCACCCACCCGTGACATCTCCATCGCCATGGCAGTAAGCAGCCACGTCATTCGCCAAGTTCACGGGGTGATGGGCCAACTCTGTGCTGAGCCTACTTCCCTCTGGTTCTCCCTCCTGAAGGAGGAGGTTCCCTGGCAGAGCTCAGAGCCCTTTGTTTATTTGATCCTGGGCTCTTGGATAAATCAGGAATGTCCTGACATGAACTTAGGCATGTTTTTCTTCCATGGAGAAGGGAACGTCGGCAAATGGGATTTAAGTAAGCAGAGGACCATTCTGGGGGACTTGCTCTAGTGCCATCAAGGCCACATTCCTTTGGTCATCAGACCAGTAGGTGACTTCTTTATTGGCATGCTCTACCATGGAGCCCAGAAGGTGTGAATTTGAAGTACTTTCCCCCCTGCTGGGAGCCTGGCACAGATGCTCTGGGCTTCTTTTAAAATCATGTAGTGTCATGCTTGTCTTCCAAGTGGTCCTTCTTTCTGCTGAGTGAAACGTTGGCCCAGAGTTGCTTGAAGAAGTCTGCTGGGGAAGCCAGTTCAGGATGAGGTGGCTGCCTGGCCTCTCATTCTCAGTCATCCTCCTGAAAGTTGCAAGGTTCTTGATGTGAGACACTTCATGGGTCAACTGCCCCAGGACCTGAGTAAAATCTCTCACTTCTGGTCAGGTCTAGACTCATATGGTACAACTAATTGTCAGAAACCTTTGTGGGTGTTCATTCTTTGGATGTAGTGGTGTGGGAACCCAAGACTCTCTGGATCTGTCTGGGTATGCAGGGTCCAGTGGGTTAGTAGCTCAGTAGTTCTTGGAAGCATTTTTGGGTCTGAGGACAGGAAAATGTTGGGAGCTATGAGCTTTGCTGTAGTGGAGACAGACCTGTGAGTATCCAAAAACAACCCCAGTCAGTCTCCAGAGCATTGGGGGAACTTTCCTCCCTGTAAGAGTTTCAAGGTATGTGGCTGTCCATGCATTACCATCGCAGAGGGGTTGGGGATGGGTTGGTGGATGTTCTTACTTGTCTTCCTGTGCCAGAGAAGAGAACCCAATTAATTGGCCACTTCAGTTCCAGGCTTGGCTGTCGCTCTGTTTTGCTGTTTTTCGTGTTGTCAGAAGGATCTTCTTGGGAACAAATGACTCAGCAACCTGAATCTCTGAGACTGTATGGCCTAAGTGCCTTTTGAGAAGTAATTGGATGAATCTACCTAGGTCTTAAAATTTTGAGCCTAGGAAGCATGGAGATCCAGGCTGGGTTTACTCGGGATTCTTCAGCCGGCAGTTCAATTTGGTTTTTCAAATCCCTGCCCTGATAGAAGGATCTCATTCATGGGGTAAGCAGGCAATGCTTTAATTATGCTTTTTGTCCTTAGGACATTCCAGGGAGAAAAGGGTCCTGGTTTGTGGCCAAAAAAGGAAAAAAAGAAAAACAAAAACAAAAACAGAAATCAGCTACTGCTGTAATCCTGTACTTGTCTGTGACAGAAATAGTTAATGGGATGGTGGTCTCAGGGTGAGGACCATTTTTTTCTCAGGGCTGGGAGAAGCCCATATGGCTCAAGAAAAGATGATGCAATGTTTAGTATGGGGCAGCCCTGTCCGGGCTCTGGGGCTGCCATACTTAAAGAGTTAAGCTAGTCTGATGACTGGGAAGCCCTCAGGGAAAGTGTGAGCCTACGGGGACAGGGACCTCTATCCCCCAGAGTGGTGAGGTATGGGAGGGGTGGGGGAACTGACCAAAAAGTGTGGCCCAGGAAGCAGCGTGTAGGCCCAACTTTTTTTGCCTTGTTTGACCAGCCTTGGCACTGCCCTCCGGCTCTCCAGGGGAAAAGCTGCAGTTCTGCTCTTGCAACACAAGGAGCAGACTGGAGAATTTAGATCTGCGTCACAGAGCTCAGAGAGAGAGAGTGAGGGAGAGAGCGAGCGAGAGAGCTCCGTCGATAGGTCTGCTAGCAACAGCCGTGCTGCAGCAGAGAGAGAGAGAGAAATCAAGAAACAAGTCATAGCAACACTGGGCACCAGGTTCTGCCAGCTTACTTGCTGAGCGTTCAGAGATCTGTCGGGGTCAGAGGCCTCTGGGTAGCCTAGGCTAGGAGATGACACGCAAGGTGGCACGGGCAGTTCCCGTGGGGAGGAGGTGGTGTGGTGGTGGGGGGCAGGGGTTGGGAGCAAGAGGTTGTGGGGTGACAGTGGAAGGTTTGACGGGACTAAATTCTGGAACATTCGGGACTGCGGCATCTTACGGCGGGACCGAGATTTGGGTCTGTACAGGCGACGATGGGTGGTCCGACAGGCTTCAGGACTTGATGGCGTAACCCCCTTCTTCCCCCACGTACGTATTTGCTGGGATCAGGGGCGATGTCTCTGTGTATGTGGGCGCTCTGTCTTTCTCATCTTCTTTCTTGCTTTTTGCTAATTATTTCTCTGAGGGAGGGTTTTTTTCCCACTTTAATTTCTTTTCCCTTAGTGTTAGCTGCTCAAGCCTGACCTGGTAGAGGAGAGAGGAGCAAACCGTCCCTGGCTTCCCACCTGACCTCAGCCTTTACCCCGTTTCCTTCTAGTGGACAGACAGACTGGTTCTCCAGGTTGTTTGGGTGTCAGCGTATGTCTGTCTGTCCATGCGGGTATTATGTGGAAGGTGAGGAGAAGTGCTGACAGGAAGACAGAAGGACAGTTTTTTTCCAGGGGTTGCCTTATTGAAATGTTTGGCACTGGGAATCTGGGGCTAGTTGGGAGCAGGTTGCCAGAGTGGGGTGTGGGCTGGGAGAAGTGGGGTAAAGCTGGTAGGTTTGTCACTGCGTAGTTGGGAAAAGTGGGGAATGGTGACGCAGTCACTGTTGCATCTTGTTAGGAGCTCTATAGGGACAGGTAGTGAGGATCCTGGGGTCTCCGGGGCCAGCTCAGAGGGGTTAAGGATGAGTTGAGAAAGGAAGTTAGCATTTAGAGATTAAATGTCATCCTTTTGGCGTTGGAAAGTTGTTTACCTTGCGCTCTCTGTGTCTCCATGTTGGCTCCCTTCCAGTTCACATGTGATGGCCTTCCCTGTACTGCTGCATCATTAACTAAGTGACTGAGCTGGCCTTCCATTGGCCAGGGGAGGGCTCTCACTCCAGACACTTCTTCTGATTGGTGGTTGGGCCAATGGCAGGTGAAAAGCTTTTTTTGATTGGCTCAGGGCAGGGTATCAAATCTGAATTTGCATTTCACTTGCTTAAAGGGGAGGGGGGAGAAACCCAGCAGCTTTCTAAAATCTCTTTAGGGGTGTGCGTAGGCTCGTGTGTCTATGCCTGCTCTTGACTGCCCAGTTGAAGCCTCTTCCTATGCCTTTTAAAATTTCATACACTATAAGGAAGAAGAGCTCAGGGCTCCTCAAACTTTTTTGGGGGAGGAAGAAAGCTGGGGAGGTAGGTGCGCAGAGGGTTGTCCAAATTGGAAGAAAATACTTGTCCTTTAGTTTGATGTTAGAAAAGGGAATTTTCCAATCAGCCACACCTCAGTGTTGCGGCAAAATAATTCTTGGCTTCCCTGGAAACACACGGGCAAGGTAGGGCAGAACTGCTGCCGATATTGCCACCACCCTGGGCTTCCTGCTGACTCTGGGCTACTCCCTGGGGACAAGAGATTTGCATTGACGTCGGGGCTGTCCTGAGGCCCTCAGGAGGCCTGTCGAGAGCTGAGCCCTGTATGGGAAAGTCCTACCTTCTGGAAGCTGCTGCTGGCTACCTGGTACTTGGAAAGGTGAGGATGGGGTACCAACCCCCGAAAATTGCTCAGAAACTGCGTATTTGGTGGGATTTCCAGAAAAGTCAGTGGGCGATGGGAGGTTTGGAGGCCCCAGATTCGAAAGGTTTGTCAGTCTGGGGAATGAGGAGAGTCAGAGTAAAACTAGGACAGCAGGCTTTTCGCCTCTGGTTGGGGGAGGGAGGCCTGGAAAAGTCAGGGTCCAGGCTCCCCATCCTGTCCTTCTTGCAGGTGTCACATTTGTGGGGAGGGGGTTTCCTAAGCTCTGCGCCATGCGCAATGGCCCCTACCCGTGACTGCGCATCTGGGAGCGCAGTGCGCCCTGGGTCTCTGGCCTAGGACGAGCACCGCCCTTCTTATTATATAACCGAGGGCACGGCATGTGCCTTCTCGGCCTTCCTTGCAACCCTACCTCCTCGCTCCCCAGGGCCCACAGAGCTGAGGGGGGTCTGATTAGGGAACAGTGAAGATTGCACTCCCTGGGAAGGCTAACTCTTGTCTAGTTAGTAACAGGAGCTAGGTTTGAAGACAGAAGTAGTTTGCTTTCCTTATTTTGGGGGCGCAGAATGTCTTTCTGTGTGCCCCATACCACCTATGGCCCTCAGGGACTCTCTGGGGCTAGGGATAGCGCCCTTCTTTCCCTTGTATCCTTTCTGATTTTCAAGAGAAAGTTTCTGAAGGAAAGGACATCATGATTGTGGGGGCCTAGTTGGGAGGTAGTTGACTGTTCACTCCACTTGTCATGCTGGGTTTTCTTTCCCTGGGTGAATTTATAATCTTTTTGGCCTCCTTTGATGGGCTGCCATTTTGGAGGCATTTCTACTGGTCTCTGACATGGTGGCGTTGGTTTTTCTGGTCCTGCTGTGCCAGTTCCGCAGAGTGGGCGGGGGGCGG